GCAACCACCCGGCCCATCCAAGTAGGATTAGGGGGACCCTTGGGGATATAGACCCTCTAAGGTCCCTTTTAAGAGAGCCAAAAGTAGGGTTCAGAAGGGGTACCCTTTAAGGGGTACCCCTAATTATATTACCTAACAAAGCAAAGGTGCACTGCACCATGGAACCAACCAGCTCCTTAGACGAATTTTTCTGAACCTAGACAGCGAATAAGCCAACCGTTTAGGGGTTCAGGGGTTCGGGGGCTTAGGGTTTAGGGGTTTAGGGGTTTAGAGGGGTAGGATTTAGGGGTTTAGGGGTTTAGGGGTTTAGGGTTTAGGGTCTGTAGAACGCAATGGCTCGCCTTTGCTTAGGCGTTGACGCACCTGCGCTCTGCCTGCGACGTGCGCGGCCTTGCTGGCAGTGGGAACAGGGATCCGCAGATGCCCAAACGTTTTGTCAAACAAAGAATCAGTCGGGAGTAGTGTAGGGGCCTGAATAGTTACCTATAGTATTTTTGGGGGCTCCTTATTACAATTTGTATGGTATAATATACCCCAAAACCCTATTCTAATTATTCAGGCCCCTACATTACTTGCCGAAGTTCTCCGAATCCCCTAACGCTCTCAAAGCCCCCAAGCCTCTCTCTTTTCTGTAGCAGCAAGATACACGCACAGCAAATGTCGCGAGGTCACCCGATCCGTCCTTCAAAGTCAGCCTTCCTCAGCCGTGAGCCCAGGAATGAGTAGAGTCTGAGTAGATATGGGGGTTTCCGGAAATAGGGGACCCTATTATAGTACCCTAAATAGTAAGATCCTCATAATAAGGCCCCCAAATAAGGTACCCCTGATTTTCGGAAACTCCCATGTCTTGAGTTCAAGCTATTCCAACATTGCTGGTAGAAGGTCTTGTGTAGCTGAAGTCGAGGGTTTGGAATGTAGCCTGTCTAACCCTAACCCCCCAGGTACCTACTATATAGGTACTAGAGCCCCTAGGGCCCTATATAGTAGGTGCCTGGGGGGTTAGGGTAACCTGGGAACAAAAGCCCGAGTCCCTCGACCTGAGCCCGTCCTGCACGGAGCAATCCAGGCTCGGGTCCATTGCATCTCCGTTCAGTTCGTGGCCTTCTTGTGCACTCCTCAGCTTTGCAGGGTTTAGGGTGCTGGGACGTATGGCTCTATAGGGTTACTATTCAAAAGAGTACCGCTAAGTACCAATAGAAAAGACGGTGGCAGTAATAAGAAGAAGCTTAAAACATGATAGTATATGATACATTTATAGCATTGGCAATACTTGTATATAATCATAGAGACGGTGAGACGTCGACGCCGACGACGACGGCTGTGCACCGTCTTCTTCTACTGCACGACGACTGCTACGCGTAAGTAACACATATATTCGTATTATTTATGATCGCGACGTCTACCATTGAGACTAAACCCTAAACCTTAAACCCCTAAGCCCGACCCTACACCCTAAACCCACCTTATAAGCTTCAAGCTCATGGAACTCCAGTGCTTGACGAGGCAAGCGCTGCTCAAAGCTGCACCGGACACTGGGATGGGTCGCAAGCGTTGCACGGGGTCCGGATGCAAGCGTTGCTTGTTGGGATGTAAGACTCCCTCGCACGACCCCAGAGGCACCACCATAGTGTTTTCGGGACCTGGAACCCAAGAGTGTTCATAGCAATACAGATGCAGGCTGGTGTCAGGATGTTGGCTTCGGGTACGGAGTTCCAGACGAAGTTTGGCGTTCAGGCTTTCGTTTCGCAGGGAGGGCGAAGATCTCGGAAATGAAAGTCGAAGTTCAAATGGAAACTGCCTCAAGCCTCGAACCCTAAACACCTCAAGCATTAGGTTTCCCAATCCTTACTCGGCTCTGAGGCCTGTGTTTGCCTCTGTCTTCGTTGCTTTTTAGTATACGGCTGAGGGTTTTGGGCTTCTGGTGGATGCAAGCACACGGCCATGCTTGCAGGATCATCGACGAACCTATCATCAGGCACCGCTGGTCCACAACCGCCTACGCAGTTCTGACATCTTGTAAACCTTAAACCCTAAACCCTATACCCTATAAACCCTAAACTCTAAACCCTATAAGCCCTAAATCCTATACCCTAAACCTTAGTAAGCAGACTCACTCCGAAACGCGCTTTCGCAGGACCTGCGAAACATGCCTCCTCCACGGCCGGCTTCGCCACCAGACTGGTATTTTAGGGTTCTTCTAGGAGTCCATAATACGGTTTAGGGTTGAGGGTTTAGGTCATGCTAGGAAGGATTTAGGGGTTCGGGGTTCTGCATTAGTTTAGGGCTTGGATGGACTGCTGGTAGTTGATCGTGGCTTTGGGTGTCGTGTTCATGGCTTCGGTTGTAGATGTCTACGGCTTTGAGGCTTGTTGGGTCTAGAATTTAGAGCTTCGAGATGGGTGTGCGGCTTAGAAGGAGGAAGGCAACTTAGTGCTCCAAAGTCCAATGGCACGGTAATGGTTATCGATACGAAACCCACTTCATGTGCACAGATGACTATTGTCGTTTTGCGTATCGTATTTTCCACAGGTCTCGTCTGCCCAGGTCTTCAGAACTTTGTAGTTCAAGTATTGACAGGTGCGGCAACCCCGTAAATCAGAAGCAGCCTCACCTGATGTTCATCCGCGTTATACCCTAAATCCCTAAATCTTCAACCCCAGGAAGCGGAAGGGTTAGACCATATCTTGACCCCCGAAAACCTACCTTCCTACCTTTTAGGGTTCCTTTGTTTATGAAATCTTTCCTCCAAGTCTTTTAAAAATGTAATGTTTTCGGGGGTTGAGGTAGAACCTACAGCGCCTCAATATTGCGGCCTGAATACTTACCAATGCCATTTTGGGGCCTATTAATAGCCCCTATAAACCCTATACCCTAAACCGAATTATGACCCCTATATTAAACCCTAAACCCTAAACCCTAAACCGATTTTAAACCCTAAACCCTAAACCCTAACCGATTTTAAACCCTAAACCCTAAACCCTAAACCCTAAACCCTAACCCGATGTTTAAAACAAGCCGTGCAACCTGAGCCCTGGCGTCAACGCCCCGGAAAGCGCCCCAGGTTACGTGGAGCCAAGCTCTTGCTGCAGGCGCTTCGCAGGCGCACCGGCGACTCCTTTAAAGGGTTCCTTTGAAGCGGTTCGTATTAAGGGTTCTTTAAGGGTTACTATAAGGGTTTAGTATAAGGGTTCCTATAAGGGTTTAGGGTTCAGGGTTAAGGGTTTAGGGTTTAGGGTTTGAGGGTTTCGGGTCAGGGTCCTTTAAAGGGTTCCTAACAGGGTTTAAAAAAAGCCATGAGCCCGGATGATTTCTGATCCCACACAGACCCGAAAAACTGTCTTGGTGCACTTTGCAAGTAAAGGGTTCTAGCGCTAAAGATGTAACATCTTGCAAAACTCTCATGGCACAAGTGGAGCTCTGATAGTGGCCTTTACCACGCGCGCGTGCCATGCTGCGGACGGCAACACGGACAAAGAGTTGGAGGGTAATTAGGGGCAAGATGTCGCCTGCATTGTGACAACCGAGCTTGTCAGGAAGATGACGAGCATGCGGCTTTCAGAACCGGAAGCTCAGAGCGATTTATCCAAGGCCTAGGAATCTTTAAATCCCGTAAGGCACCAGTTTCGGGGTTGGGGTTTAGGGGTTCACTGTAAGCTCCGGTTTTGCGCGTCAAGCGACGTACGCGATAGGGGTTAGTGAGGGTTGTGCGCTGAGTTTGAGATGTTCAGATTCAGACATCACCGTAACAGCCTACAGCTGATACCCGATCAACCCTACTTGCTTGAAAGGCAAACCTCAAACTCTGATTCCTAAGCTTAAGATCAAGCCGACTTGGCCCAACATTTCGACCGGAATCGTTGGTCATAGCAAGGCACCTACATCACAGAACGATTGCTTCAAGATCCCTGTGCAGGAACCCCTTTACTGCGACTCTATTGAAACAATTACGACCCTTATAGTAAACCCTTATTAGCAGGAAACCCTACATAAACCCATCTAAACCCTATCCTTACTACGGCCCCCTATGTTCTCCCTCACGAACAAGGACTGCCTGGTGGAGCTCGATGTGCAGCTGAAGGACTGGGTCTTCTGAGTTGGCCGAAGCAGCGAAAGTCTTTCCAACAGGTGGCGGGGGGGGGAGCTCTAAGGATTCGAAGAGTGGTTCCTACAGGCTTCCATGCTTCTATATATAAGAGTTGTAGCGCTAAGGCTGCTATACAGGTTCCTATAATCGTTATGTAAGCCTCCAAGGTTCCATTGAGGGGTCCCTATGTATGTGTGCATATATATATATATATCTCTCTCTCTCTCTCTCTTTCTCTCTCTCTCTCTCTCTTTCTCTATCTCTCGCTATCTACCTTGCTATCTATCTATCTATCTATCTATCTATCTGTCTATCTACCTATCTACCTATCTACCTATCTACCTATCTATCTATCTACCCACCTGCCGAGCTATCCAGCTAGCTATATACATACACATAGTGGTTAAAATGTCGGGCTTGATGGTGTTTGGCGCCTGAGGCTATTCAAGGTTTAGGGGTCTAATCCCGAGACCTACTTGGAGGTTTACGGGTAGTTATAAGTAGGGTTATAAATCCCCTAATATGGATTATAACTATAGTTACCCTACTTATAACCCCACTTACAACTACCCATGAACCTCCAAGTAGCCCTCTGTTTGGGCAAAAGCCGAGACGGCAGCTTCGCCTCTGTGATCCCAGTCCCCAGACCCTCGGGAGGATCTAAAAAGTAGATACCCTAACATGGGGACCCTATACTACTAAAGGGTACTTTATACGAACCCCTCTTGGGGACCCTATACTACTAAGGGGTACTTTATACGAACCTCCTTAAACGATCTACTTTCTAGATCCTCCCGGG